TTAAAACTTGTGTATTATATATCGTCGTTTACATAAACAGCAGTACAGTTCAAAGACATCACGTTCTACTAAACAGCTAGTAGAGAAGGTATACTTTACAAGGAGTAGGTTCAAAGGCATAAAACCTACCTACTCTTGCAGGTTTCAACTTTAGAGTTATTGCCAGTTACATGAATGAATTTTCATTCATGTGGGAGATTGTTGGAAATTTTTAGATAAATTGGACATTTTCGGACTTAAACTCGGTAGGGTCCACAAAATTATTTTCTAAAATAATTATAGATGTTTAATCTCGTAAGTACGATAAATGTTTTGACATATTACACACCATAATTAGTGTTCGGGTGAATGAGAAATTAATTCTCAAAGTTGAATATGAGAGAAGTGTAAAACCTTTGTCCCACACTGGTTTTTTGAACCTTTCGGATTATCTCGTGACTTCTAAAATGATTTTATTTACAAATTGGTAAAGAAATACAAAATACAAAATTTATATTTATAAACTTAATAAAAAAACTCTACAAAACAAGAGGTTACAAAAATATTTTATTTTATCAAATGATCAATGAAAACATGAGTAATAGGGAATAAAAGTTATCCCTATTACCCGTGATAGGGATAACTATCTTTTTTAAATGGGTAATTTTAATTTTTTTAAGAATTACCCGTAATAAGAAATGAGTAATTCTTTTTTAGACGGAGGGAGTATAATTACGTTTAAGTGCTATTTATGAAATAAAAAGTTTAAATCCTAAATTGAGAAATGACTTATGTTCTAGTATTATTTAGTGCAAACATTTCTTTAATTAATTAAGCTAAAGCTGGCTAGCATAATCATACTTAATTTCTCTTAAATCTGATCTACTTATGGAATTGGGTTAGAGTCTGGATTCTTAATCGGAATATATTGGCAGCATCATTTTACTGGCGACACTCATTCAAATGATTTAATTTCTTGTTAAAATTAAACAAGACTATCATGGCATGGCTAATGGCTTAAACAAAATGTAAAACACTTCTATCGTATACTCTCCCCATTCTTTAAATTTATTCATATTTTGATTTTGGACCAAAATAAGAAAAATGTAATTTTGATTGACTATCCAATTTTGCCTTTGATGTGATGGATAAAAGTAAGATGTGATAGTTTGATTATTAGTGAAAAAGTATTATGTGATAAGTAATGTATGAAAAAGTAAGAGTAAAAGTGGTTTTTTAATAGAAAGTGAGAGTGTTTTAGAGAATTGGAAAAAAACGAAAGAGGAAGAGTTTTATGGAACGAATGGAGTATATTTTTCTTATATCATTATATCAGTAAAAATATACTTTCTCCATTCTTAAAAACACTTTCTCGTTCATTTTATTCTATTAAAACTCTAATATTATCTAAAATATACTTCGAGATATCTTTAATTTTATATTCAAAACTCTAGTTCCCACATTATCTGAAATATAATTTGGGACTAAAAGTTTGTGATATTATACATTTCGTCTATTCAAGTGTTAGAATTGATTTTTTATAAAGAACTAAATAATTTTATTTAAATTTAATACTCCCACCCTCCAAAATTAAAATTCCCACTTTAACTTGGCACGAATTTTAATAAAACATGAAATTTACTTTGAGTTTTCTAAAATACCTTCTTCCTTATCCCTTCTCTTTTCTTATCCACCCATTTTCTTCTGTCTACTGGCTCTCTGCAATCGGATGTGCAATCTTTTCTTGTCCACCCATTTTCTTATGAAGTCAAAAGCAATATGACGGTCGGTTGTATAAATTGGGACGATTGGAGATAAATCTTCGCACCCACCCCCTCCGGGAGAGCATGCTCACAGCCGCCGCCGCCCTCCGCTGCACGATCTCTGCGCTACTCACCCATCACACCTTTAATTCGATCAAGCCCTTGTCTTTTCTTCTTCGTACATTCATCACTATCCCCAAATCCCTAACCATTGGTCGGGTCCGCACAACTGGAGGCACGGTCCTCCCACAACCACGACCATTTTTGGGGGCCCGATGGGCCTGACGTGGATCCACCTTTTCCGGGGAGCCCCGGCATCAAAAGCTCTGAGCAATGTCCGATGGGCTCGGGATCTTCTCTTGCAGAAATTGGCTCTCTGGTTCTCTCTCCTGCTCACCCTCTGAGCAAATCAAAGCTTTCCCACTTGGGTTATTGCAGGTGGCGTGAGGAGGGATTGCCCATCGGAGTCTGTCAACCGCCGGATAACCCTTCCAGACCTCCATTACCCATTCTAGTTAGTGAATTTATACTCCTATTTAGTTCTCTAGTCTTCCACTTTAGCTGTATCAAATGAATTTTTTATACTTATCCTATTTTTATTTTGACTCATTAAGTTATGCTCAACTAACATTTGGTTAAATGTGATGAAGTTAAATTGCTAGTTTTAGATGGTCATATCTTGCCAAGTATGCATTTATAACCAATCAAATCTAATAATAAAAAAATTATATTTTTGGGACAACAAATAAGCTACAAGCCCTTTTGGCATTCTTGGGTTTCATTCTAAAAGGTTCTAGCTTTAAAATCAAGATGAAGCCATGTGGTTAAAAATCTCTCTGGGCATGTTTCGGTTTACACTGTACAATTAAATCCAATCCAATGATCTTTTCCTTTTGAGTTGAGGGTTAATTGCAAATAGTCCCTCCACTCTTCGCAGGAAGAGTTACCCTTCATAGATCGAGCTATGGGAATACACTGGATATGTTGTTTTCGATGATTCAAGTATTTTTATTATCAGCTATAATGTTATTCCTTCATTTTTACAAAACGTTAAATATATTTCGACCTAAAAACTTAGGGGTTTCTTTGGACTTGAATGGAAGTTATTAAAATGTTATACAGTCACATACAACAACCCAGTGAGTCACATACGTATTATTAAATTAAGCTTTCAACTTTTGTCATCCAATGCATTTACTTCCAAACGAGACCAAAACCCTCCATTGACTCGTGCAAAAATTACACACACACACACACATATAGATACATATATACATACATACATATATATATAGACACACACACACACACATATACTCCCTCCGTCCCGGAGTATTCGTCCAGTTTTGACTTTTGGAATTGTTCATCTAAGCACTTTGACTCATCAAATTCTCTCAATGTGTAAGCCTAAATATAGTCATGCGTGATCTTCTTTGATTTGTCTTAACATATAGATTATTAATATATAATTTCAATAATAGTTTAATATACAAATTACAAGATAAAATGGATCAAAGAAGTGTATTGGATAGTGTGTAAAAATGAAAGTGGACAAATACTCTGGAACGGAGGTAGTATGTGTGTGTGTGTGTATCGCATACATATTTTGCAGATTTGTTGAAGGAGTATGATGTGGAGCTGAAGGGACCATTCAACTATACGGCCAGAGATGAAGCTGGGATCCCAAGGGAATGGTAAGGGAAGGGTAATCATTTCAATGATACAATTATCTTAGCTTCTCAAATGAACTTAGAGAACCTTGCATCTTATGCTGTCCAGGTACGATTCTTTGTCCTCAAAGAAAGAATATGATCAAACTCCCCTTTCTCAGGTACCTTATGCATGTACTATGATCTGATATAGAGATTTGCGATTTTTAGTACACAAGGTAAAAATGGAAGTGATGCACTAGTTTTAGTCAACCAATTCTATTGAAATTCCATTACCAGCTTTAGTTAACATGAAAACAAATTAAAGAGATCTTGGAGTACCTTTTAAGTGTATGATAGACTTAGACTGGCTTGCATAGTTTTTATGGAAAAGGAGAACTCTAACATGTAGAGTGGATTCCAACCAATCTCAATGAAGAAAGTAACTTGTACATATCTTTGAGGCCATGATTTGAAATCCAAATGAAGAAAGCAACTTGTGCAATTCATCACTATGTAACAATTCGAAATGGTCTAGGATGGATAATTGTATAGGAGCCAACCGAGCCATAGCTATTGAATTATTTTTGAATAAAATCCAAATTCATAAATTCTACTCCGTATTACTTAGTAAAATCAAATATGAAAAACTGAAAAAGCAAGCAAATAAATAAATCTATCATAAATTCATATCAATTCGTCAAATTTTCTTTTTTTAATTGTTTTTTCTTTTTCAGTTTTAATTTTTTTTAAAATCATAAATTCATATCAATTCGTCAATTTATCAGTTTTTTATTTTGTTTTAGTTTTCAGTTTTTTTTTATATAAATATATCATAATTAACAAATTCAAATTAATTCATCCAAATCAAATAAATAACATATAGAACCATTAATTCATTCTATTTCATAGAATGAAATTAGAAAAGATTTCAAATTAAAAACTAATAATTAACCCTAGATTTTAAATCTAAAAAATGAAACAATGAAAGAAAATTAAGAAATAAAAATTACAAAATTGAAAAGCTATGAATAATTCAATATATATGGATGACCTGGAGGGAGGAGGTCGGAGTCCAGCGGCGTGACGGAGGCGTCCTTTCTTCGGCTAATCGGCTCTTCTGCTTCTTCGGCTATCGGCGTCCTTTCTTCTGCAATTCGACTAATCTATCGGCTCTATGGTTCTTTTTTTTTTTGTCTACGCCTTAAGCGAAGGGGGTAAGGGAGTGGACTGGGCTTTAAATGGGATGGGCTTATATATATATAATACTTAAAAAAAATTTGGTGCCCATTAAATTCTTGGCCCCGGCCCGGACGGACACTTTGTCCCCCTATTGGGCCGGCCCTGATGTTAAATGTCACATGTAATTATATAATAGCAATCATGCCAATGTATAAAGTCATACATATGAATGCATAATGCTAAACAAATTAAATAGATAATGCCAACCTTGACATTGTACGAATAATATTATTCATGGTAATGTATAATAAAAGATATATCAATGTATAATGTTAAGCATCACAGATGTTAATGCATAATGTCAAAAAGGGTAAATGTCAAGTAACTCTACTATTTGCCATAGTTTTGTTTAATGAGTATTGGGAGTCCAACTGGGTTTCTGCGGCTAGGAGGGTTAATCAAATCATATATTTAATTAATTACTCCTATTTAGGGGAGTTTAAGTTTAAACTCCTATTTTGAGGATATTATCCATGTTTTACTCCTATTTAGTAGGTTTTCTTTTTTAAGAAATATTTGCACTAATATTTGGGTAAATTTGCATAGAATTTAAAAATAAAATTTATATATTTAAAAATCAAATCTAAAATTTTACAAAATCATATGCATCATTATTATATTACTTTATCAAATAGGTACTGAAAATAAATATTGAAAGACGTTAAAATTTGACAATATAAATAGTGAATGAATAACTTAAAGTGAGATGGAGACAATATGTACTAAAGTAGAATTAGTGAAGAATTAATAAGATCTAGTAGTAGTAAGATATTAAGTCGAGAACTAATAAATAAAAGTTGGAGAATTATCAAATACTACAACACAAATTATGAAATCACAGTGCGTGCACTAACAATTCTTAGTGTGCGACTTAAGAAAAATAAGTGTGCCCTAGACTCCGCCTAGAGCACCGCTCACGCATTGAGTTTGTCAATTTGCAAATGGCACGCGGATCCTTAATATGCGTGAGTTACGAGTTCTAGGATAAAAAACTATATTTAATTTGTTAAATGCATTACTATCTCATTCTATAGCACATCATTTGGAGATCCTCTCATTTGAGTTTGTGTATTCCACTTTTTGTTGTTGTTGTTGTTGTTGTTGTTGTTGCTGTATGTCTAGTTTTCCTTAAAAAACTACTTCCTCCGTTTCAAAAAGAGTTCCTACTTTGAAAAAGTGGAAAAATAAGGAAGTGTTAAATTGTAGTTGACTTCCAATTTTGTCCTTGATGTGATGGGTAAAAGTAAGATGTGATAGGTATATTATTAGAGAAAAATATGATGTGATAGGTAGGGTATGAAAAAGTAAGGGTAAAAATGGTTTTTTAATAAAAAGTGGAAGTGTTTTGTTGGAAGTGAAAAAAATGAAAGATGAAGTGTTTTTGAGAATGGAGGGAGTAGTACATATAAGACATGGATAGTACTAGCTCCAAACGAGTTTCTCACCCACGCCTAAAAAACAAGAATTAAACTATTTGTAATTCAAAAGTTTTACTCCACTTTGTATTCCAAAGACATACACCAATATTTTATATTAATGTAATGCTAGTGTTATAGTTTATAATAACAGAAAATGTCGATGCAATTTTTTTTAATTATACTAGCATTTTATGCTAGCTAGTGTGAATCCTAAAAATATCGATATATCTCTTATTCTCTTTGAGATACAATTTGAAATATATTTTAGGGTGTACCACTAGCATTTTTGAAGAAACTAAGTAAACCTGGCAAAAAATGACCCGACCTATTTTTGACCCGAGACCCGACCCAAAAATACTGAGTTTTGAACAAAAATTTTGCTGACCGAACCCGAAGTTGATCGAACCCGAAATTACCAGTTAAAAATGGGTAAAATCCGACCGAACCCGAACCCAACCTGACCGACCCGCTAATGTGAGAATTTTCTAAAATCATATGCTTTAATAATGTTATAAAAATAAGATTTAAATTTTATTTCTTTTCTTTTTACTCATTTTTAATGTATAAATTTATATTTTCATACAAAATTATAATGATATTGCATAATTATCTTACAATTTTTTCAAAATTTTAATATGATCATATTTAGTTTTTTATTCGTAATATTGATAATCGCTCAAAAATGACTAAAGATTTCAAAAAATAAATGAAAGTCATAACCCATTGGGTCAACCCAAACCCGATAACATTGGAACATATGAACATGTAGCTCTCAACTCGAACCCAAATTTACCCGAACTCGAAGTAATCTGAACTCTAGATTGAATAATTCGTGTATTTTTTCAGTGGATAAATTTTTAGGTAGCACTGAAGTATACAAGACAACTTGCTTTTTAATTATTTTGCGTGAATCACCTTGTTTCAGAAGATCATCATAAATTATTAAAGTGTGTCTTTCCTTATACATAAAATACTCAGCCAATGATCCTGATGATAATACAACTGAAAAAGAACCTAAAGATGATAAGAGTTATTCGATACGATATTCGCACCAATCTGATTTTCGTCACCAATCACGATCTTATTTGGTCAAAACCCTAGCGACAAATTCCTATTTTCCTTTCATTACGATATTTGTGAACAAGTTACTGGACAAGAATCCTCCTAAATTTATTTTTGATATCGACAAGGTAAATATTACCGCAAGATTAGAAATTTTCAGATGTAATAAATCCAAAAATCCGATATTAAGAGCAATCTGTTATGAAATTAATGATTGTTCATTTATTCAATTAATCAGGCCTATTTTCTAGAATAGTAGATTAAGACAACCATTGATGAGTATCAATTATGTACAGTACTTCCCATTTGTATTTGTATCCATACCAAGGCTCTCCACTATAAATAGAGGCCTAATCCTTGCATTGTAATCACAATTAAGAACAATAGAAAGAGTGAAGAATCAATATAGAGAAGAAATCAGAAATATATCATATTTATCTTCCTAATCTCTGAGTAGTTTTTCTCTCATTAGATAACACGTTATCAGCACGAATTGCTCAAAATCCCAGAATCCTTGTTCTTCTCAGAAGGTATATTTATTTTATTTTCTTCATGAACAAATTAAAATATTTTCTTAAAAACTATGAGAAGTATGCTCTGTGATTGCCCAAAGTTGGGATCCTTCACATCAGAAACTTATACTTATAAAATTAAAATTAGATAATTAAAAGGAAGAAGTTTCCTCATAATAAAAAAAAATCATTTTTTTTATAAACTAAAACAAAGAGTAGATTTAATACAGAGTATTTAAGATTGAAAAAAAAAATTATATTTTTTTTAAAAAATAAAGACTACTCTTGAAAAAAAAATATTAAAATCAAGATATGATGAACTTACCTTCCTGCTACTCTTGAATCCTTCTTGTACACATCTTTGATAGAAATAGATAATCTCACTTTATAATATTATTTTTATCTTTTTCTTGTTATAAGTATTTTTTTTTCGAGATTTTAGAGAATGAACCCAATATTAGAAAGATGCATCTATACGCTAGATAGAGTATGTGAGACTGTGAGAGGAGAGAGTAAAAAGATTTGATGCTCTATTACTTATTTGAAACAGAGTATTTAAATAATAAAAAAGAAAAACTTGGTTGTTTTTAACATGGAAGACATACTACATACGGAGTATTTGGCTTTGTTTGTCTTCTTTTATTTGATTGTTTTTAATAATAAATAAATCGTAGACTATACTTTAAGACATTAATAGATTACAAACTAGTGATTTGTCTTTTTCTTTTTGTTTTGAATATGTTGTTATTCTTTTAAATGACATGGAGTACAAATCATTACACATTACTTTGTCCTTTTTCTTTTTGATATTGAAATTTGAATATGTATATATACATTTTGATTAACATGGAATTAAAAAAATAATAATAATCATTCTCGCCACTAAAGAAATATGCGACCCACCCTTCTTCTTATTATATTTAAAATAATAATAATAATAATAATAATAATAATAATAATTTGAAGCTATATTATTTTTACAAAGTAAAAAAATAATAATAATAAGCTAACAAATTTAATTTATCTTGTAGTTTATTTCATGGCCAACATCACCAAAAGAGAATTCGACATTCTTGATTTATCCGGTCAAAGGTACCTGGAATGGAGGGTTGATGCACTTGCTCACCTCAAGGCTAATGACCTCGAAAATACAATTGCTGATAACAATACATCATCATCTCAGCAAAAGGCAAAAGCCATAATTTTCCTTCGCCACCATCTTCATGAAAGTTTAAAATCTGAATATTTATTGGTGGAAGATCCGAAAGAATTATGGGATAATCTCCAAGAGAGATATGGTCATCAACAAAAGGTCTTACTGCCGAGAGCTCAGTATGAATGGATCAATTTAAGATTTCAGGATTTTAAATCCGTTTGTGACTATAATTCTGCTATTTTTAAAGTCACGTCCACATTAAAATTATGTGGACATAATATCACTGACCATGACATGTTGGAGAAAACTTTTTCCACCATGCATATGTCAAATGTGATATTACAGCAACAATACAGAGAAATGGGCTTTAAAAAGTATTCTGAGTTAATCTCAGTATTACTTGTTACTGAGCAGAATAATGAGCTCTTAATAAAAAATCATAACATGAGGCCCACCGGTTGTAGCCCTACAAATTTTGGCCATCCTGATCGTGGTTCAGCACCAGAATCAAATGTTATCCAAGGTGGTGCTCGCAGACACTTTAAACGTAGACGCGGAAATAACCGCAACAAAGGGCCGAACAGGGGCTATAAAAATCCAAATGGATCATCCTCCAAAGAAAAGGGAAAATTCAAACCACCACAGGCCAAAACTTATGAAAAGCCAAAACCAAGTGGTGAATGCTACAAATGTGGCATAAAAGGACACTGGGCGAATGAATGTCGAACGGCAAAACATTTGGTTAAATTATATCAGGCTTCCACAAAAGGAAAAGAGAAAAATGTGGAAGCTAATTACGCTGATGATATCAATCCAATTTTGCCTAAATTTGACGTGTCCGATTTCTACATGGATGATGCTGAAATTGGTGATGAAGTGACCTTTGGTGGAACTACTTCCCCAAGGAACAAAATTAATTATCAAAGACGCATTATATTCCAGCAAATCCCGAAGAAATTTATTGAGCTTTAAGGATATGCGTCAAAATGGTTATCACATTGAAACCATGACAGAAAATAAAAAGGAATACTTGTGTCTAACGACAACCAAATCTGACAATAAAATTCTTTGTGAAAAGATGCCAGCGTATTCCTCGGGGCTATATTATACTCACATTAGTCCCGTTGAAGTGAATGTTATCTCTAATAAAAAATTAGATGATCAGAAAACATTCATTTTGTGGCATAACCGTTTGGGTCATCCTGGCAGTGTAATGATGCACAAAGTAATTCAAAATTCACTTGGACATCCATTGAAAAATATAAGGATTCCAAGATCAATTGATTTTCCATGTGTTGCTTGCTCTCTTGGAAAGATGATTGTCAGGCCATCTCTAAATAAAATTGGAGTTGAATCTCTTGCATTTTTAGAAAGAATTCAAGGAGATATTTGTGGGCCAATTGCCCCAGCATGTGGACCATTTCGTTATTTTATGGTGTTGATCGACGCATCAACACGTTGGTCACATGTTAGTCTTTTATCTACAAGAAATTTTGCATTTGCAAAACTCCTTGCTCAAATCATACGTTTGAGAGCTCAATTTCCGGATTATTCAATAAAGAAAATCCGACTTGATAATGCAGGAGAATTTACATCTCAATCATTTAATGACTATTGCATGTCTATTGGGATTGATGTGGAGCATCCAGTTGCTCATGTGCACACTCAAAATGGTCTTGCTGAGTCTTTAATAAAGCGATTACAATTAATTGCTAGACCATT